CCCTAAGCCCTATAAACCCTAGGCCCTAAACCCTAAACCCTAAGCCCTAAACCCTAAACCCTAAGCCCTAAACCCTAAACCCAAACCTAGGATCTGCAGGCTTTTCCAAGAGCTCAGCCTTCTTGATTGGACCCCGGCAGAGTGGGCACTGCCCCGCACCTTGAAGTAAACCAGTCTAAACTCCTTAAAGGGGGGTAATGTAAGATAGGGTTTAGGTACAAGGGTTTGGGGTCTAAACACCTTAACGGGGGTTATATAATAGGGGTTTATAGAGGGGAGTATTGTAGGGGGTTGCTAAAAGGATCTAAGGGGGATCCTAGGAGTTTAGATTATAGCTCACATACTGCTGATTCAGGAAACTTTGCACCACCTGGGTCCTCTGGACTATCGAATTTTCTTGGGAATTAAATGGTCTGGGTGGTGCATGATTTCATCGTCAAGCGTGCGCGAGTACTTGGGGGATCCTGTGCTTTGTGTGCTCTGGGTGGTTTCTTGGGGGAGTTCCAGACTTTGCGAGGGGTCTCATAAGTATATACACTCTACTGCCGGAGAGCCTACGGTATGCAGTTAAACAGGGGAGCACAAGCCAGCGCCGCAACACCGGCGCACTATACATAAAGGGCCACCGCAGGGAGCTATGGGTATGGTTTGCAACTGACTTAAGCGTGTAGAAGGTCAACAGGTTTATGGCGTCTGGTTCTACAACCTCCGATCCACAACCCCATAAGCACTGACAGCTCCCCAACGATGATAAGGTGAATGACATGCTGAGAAGAGCACTACCGCGGCCGAGCGTTTTGAGTACGGCTTCGATGCAGTCCTGGGCTTCCAAAGGGTCTCCATCAAGGGTTCCGTGTCCAACCGAGGCTTCTTTGCGGTTGCAATCCTTGGGATTCAGCTGTTGGACCTCTTTCCACCTCGGGCTGGCACCCCTCTCGCCCTAACAACCGGGAGGGCCAGAAAATTGAAAGTTGGCATCCTCAATAAAACTTCCTGAACTCTGTAGGCTGAGCCTCAAGGTTAAAGACGACCACGATAGTGAAGCCAGTCTAACAACATTAACATGGAGGCAGCTCGATACAGTGGGAGTCATCCCCTAAGGGTCCAAGGACCCAAATAATAAGGTTTTAGGGCCCAAATTTTACTAATATTATAGTATTTGGGCCCTGAAACCCTATTATTACCTTACGGGTGCACTTCCAGGCTTCCTCCTGTACTCTTATGTTGGGAAATCCGCACGCCTCCCGTCACTTCATGTACATTGTGTATGCCAACCTTGTGACTGAAAAGGCGCGCTGTTTTGGTAAGCTTTTCGGCTGTTGTCAGGATGCCTCGTGTGTGTAGCTTCTGTCACCAACATGGCCACAATGTGCGAAGTTGTCCGCAGCTGGCTACTAAACTCCTGAAGGCTGTTCAGACAAAACATTCTGCGAAACAAATCTTGAAAGTGGTATCCCAGGATTCTGTGACAGTGCATGGCGTGAGGCACAAGGCAACTTCCTCAATGAGAAGCATGATGAAGTGTGTTCACAAAGGCAATCGTGCAATGTCTTCGAGTCGCACACAGACATCTTCTAAGAACAGGTCAGCCAATGAAAGACGTCGTCTGCCAAAGCGGAAGACATTGGATCAGGAGAAGATGGATAGTGCAATGAGGTCTGATTTCTTGAAAGCATGGAAATTTTTGACAAGATGGGGCTTTGCTCAACCTGGTCTCCGTTCCAGATATACAAGATACCCATGCAGCTGCAAGAGATCTGGCTGTGTTGCAGAAAAACTCACCATGGGACCTCCTAGAAGTTCACAGCGGAAGAAACTCGTTGAGCTTTTGAAGAAGGAGAAGCGGAAGTTGACAACTGTATACTTTCGTGGCAGCAAGTGCAGCAAGTTCTTCCCTTGCACCAAGTTTACGTTCTTGCCGCAAGTCAAATTTCCCTTTCCTCTACCAATGCTGACGCAATTCATCCAAAGGTTCATGCAGGTGCACCAGCCCAATCTGCTGAGTCTTTGTCAAGAGGTTGGCATGTCTCGTTCACGTGGAGTCATGCGCTTGTTTAGCTGGTTGCAACAACATGAAGCTGCTGCCGGGTACGATGCTATGCGGAAGTTGAAGCTGCATGGACAAGTGGAAGGTGATGGTACGGCACTTCGTTTGTTCAAGTATGACAACAAGAACCATTACATAGCTATGTGGGGACTCGTGCAAAGGCCTCGGGGCAAGGCGATTCCGAAGACGGTCATATACTTTGTTCCGGTCAAGAAAGTGAAAGAGAACAGTGTATGTTCCGTGGAGAGTCATGCTGATGTTGTGTACACTGGCGGCTTGAATCAGATCATCCAGCATGCCAAGGCTGATGGAAAAGTTCCATCTCTCTTACTCACGGATGGAGCTACTCGTTACACCAAACTTGCGAAGGAGTTCAAATTGAAGCATCGGTTTTGTGTACAATTTTGGAGGTATGTGTACCAGTGGTG